TGTCACAATCCATCCAATTCGAACTTAAAAATTGTCAAATTTTCAATAAGCCTTCGCAAAGTATTATACAGAAGAGTCAACCTAATTGAATAAGCATACCTTTATCATTTCTCAAAATATATTCTAAATCATTTATTAATATGAAACAAAATGCGTTAATATATTCTTCCTTCTTCCTTGAAGACGCACTAAAAACGTGTCACTGAATAGTTTGCCTTGACCAGGACTTTTTACAGTTTATTGCCAATTTCATCACAGAGAAGTTAGACTTATTTTTAGATGGCCACATTTAGTCGCCTGGGCTGTAAAGGAGTGCTATTACCAGACCAGTTTGTAATAAACAGCACATTAACAGTTTCTGATATGGCGAAACCACATTTAAAAAGTTGATAAAACGAAAAAGAGTGCATGAAATCACCAAAAAATTTCTACTTTATAATTCACTCGAAAAAAAAACTAGAAAAACAAGCATGTTCTCTGCACTCGTCCATTTCGCCTTGACTTTTTCTTTGTGAATAATATCAAATTAAAATAAAACCAGAAAGTAAGTAAGTTAGGTAGCCAAAGTTTTAATACCCTTACGATTTTAAAGATATGTAAGAAGAGTGCTGCTTGTAAATACTAAGTTTCATGAAAATATCTTGGAAAACAAAAATTGTTCAAGTACCTTTTCTTCAAAGATCGGGCGACGTACATATATGTAAGGAGCATAGTGAACCTTATAAATGCCGAGTTTGGTCAAGATATCTTATAAAAGAAAAAATGTTCGATACGGGAGCCTACTTTTAGACCGATCGTTCCCATGGCAGCTATATGATATAAGGGGTCCAGGGGTCTCAACAGAAATATATAACAGTTTCTTGACAATAGCTTTAAAACTGACAGACTAGCTCGAGTATAAACAGACAGGCGGACATGGCTATATCAACTCGGCTGTTGATGCTCTGTGACGATCCTCAATATGTATATATATTATGGGGTCGTAGATGTCTCCTACTATGCGATACACATTCCATGGCTTAATTGAGAGTATTATTATTATACAGGTATATAAAAATAGACGCATTGCAAATTACTGTAAGATACGAATCGGCAACTTCTCAGTTGTTAGTCCAACGCTCAGGTATCTAAATGCCACAGTTTTAAGATGACACATTTGCAAAGCATACTTATATGGTTGTTGTTATTGATGTCTTGGCCACCGTTTTCTTCCCAAATGTAGGTCGAATCCCCCAAAGACTTTCATCTTAATGCTAACATTCAACACAAGAGAAAGCTACACTTGAAAAATTCAGTTGATTACTCGATAACCAGTTATTCGGGGCAAACTCTTTTACATATATGTATATAAATGCGAAATTTAAATACTGAAAAGTGTTAATTTCTCTGTAGTATTGTGTGTTATTTTATAGATAGAATTTACTTAGGCCCAGGTGCAGGTCATTTGGCTGAACATTTGCATAACAGTTGGGCATCATTAGATGGCAGCTGTCAGACCGCCATCAGACGTTAAGTCCTTGGTCCCGAAGGCATTTGCACGTTTGTACAATGCATAAATATTGATGAGCGTCGCTTGAAAACTTTCGCTTTTCTTTTTCCCCCTTTTAATTCTTTCTTTGCTTTTACAAAAGGCGATCAACACGACGTATGCGTAATGTTTGTTACAAATGAATAGGCACATGTTTGGGACTTGACCTTTCATTGTTGTTGTTGCTGTTGCTGTTGTTGGCGCTGTTCAAAAGCCAAAATCCAATTAACAAATCATTAAACATTCATTGAGCACGTGGCGCAATTGCAATTGCCAGTGGGTCAGTGAGGTGTGCAGGTGGGCGGAGTAGACACTTTTTATAGGGTTGCACGCTCCGTGAATACGTTACGTTACGTTACGTTACGTTTCGCATATAAAGGACAAACGCTTGGGGAATTTGGGAGGCCGTTACCTGAGCGCTGACTCAAACGACAGGCGTATGTCTGTCTGACAGACTGACGGACTGACTGGCTGGATGGGCGTCTATAATTCATTTTGTAACTTCCTGGCAGTACGGACTGTCCTGTCACTTCCATTTAGCATCCGTTTCAGTTGCAGTTGTCTGCACAAAAGCCTTGGCATAATCACTGATGCGTTTACTAATGTCTATTAAAAAGCACCCTCTGCCACACCCACCCCCAACGCACACCCGACCCCTCCCCCCAGCCACCCGCTGCCCAGCTAATGCATTTAAGTAGACAGCTCGTGGTTTCTGCGCTGGCGGCTTGTCAAAGAAAACCCACACGCGTGCTCTGTGGACGCTGCCAAAGGGACAAACACATTGATGTTTCACTAGCCTTTGTCTTGACAGACAGTCGGACATGCAGACAGACAGCCAAGCCAAGTCGAGCCGAGCATTACAGTCCGCACGGAACCGCCAACCAGCCGGGCAACTTTTCTTATTTCGCTTGTCTTGTCTGCCTTGTTAGTTGGCTCAATGAATGTGCTTTTCCATGGTGGTTGGGGATTGGCTGCCTGCGGTTCTCACATTAATGTAATTTAATTTTATAAAAACTGCGGGGGTTGTTATATATATATATATATATATATATATATATATATATATATATATATATATATATATGTATATATGTATTGGTGTGTTGGCATTGACAGTTCAGCTGTCTTTACTTTGATCTTAAAGACATACATGTGCTTGGCGGGCAGCTTCTGTTTCTGTGTTCTGTTTCAGATAATCAGCACACGTCTGTTAGCGACTTCATCAATTAGATTTTGCTTTTAAGGCTAGCCGAGTTGACTGATATCTACAGTTAATAAATATCTCACACCTTGATAACATTCTTCACATGCCTTTCAAAGCATTTCCAATCGCTCTGCCAAAACTAAGCAATTGATGTTATTTACCCACTGCGCAGTTACATTATAGAGCGTTCAAATGTAATTACCTAAGTAAATGTTGAAATTACTTTAACGAAAAAACTTAATACGCAAGCAAATGTGACGAAGATCTTATTAATTCAAATATTTAAATACCAGAAAGTATTAACAACATTTAGTTTAGTGTATGACTATGTTTCAATTACTATTTTAAGATTATGATCTGGATTATCTTGGAGTCATTATATAAGCACTGCTTGTAATTAGTGGATACGCACTCAGCTGTGTCCTTTCTAATAATATTTGTCTAAAAATTATCATCGCAGTCATTAAAATCTATAAAATTATTCAGAGAATCGCTTTACCTTTTAAAAGCATTGAGCATGAAATTCGCACTCACATTATATATATACTCTAAATACTGTTGATCCATTTCCGATCAGTGTCTATTCAGGCGTGTGAGAAATCAAGTGTACATAATATTGCAGCTATTAAATAACATTTAAGGCTTATAATTATCCGAAAAATTGGCTTTATAAAATGCCATGCGTCTGGCGCGTGAGTCTCATATACATAGTTGTTCACTGACCGCTTTTAAAGGTGCTTTAAAATTATTTGAGTTTATCAGAATTTATTTAAATGTTTAAACGAGTCACCCTGTTGTTGGCTCTCAGCCTGTGTGTCAGTGAACTTCCGCAACCGGCTTGGGTAACATAGAGTTTTTTTACGAAAGTTTCTAGAGCTGGGTTTCTACTACTCTCTTTCTTTCCTTTTCTCATAACTTTCTCTAAGACAGGCGCGTTCCGTCTCTGTTTCGCTGAACATGTCCTTGACCCGCAGCGAACCGGATGAACGAAATGAGACAATGGCTCCAGCTAAGCTAAATCAGGAGCTGCTGCAGTCGTGCATGCGCGAGACGGATGTGTCCATGTCACAGCTGAAATTCTTTCGGCTCAGCCTGCTCTTCAATGATAACAACAACGGGGAGAACGAACTGGCCTTGGCACCTGGCGACGGTGCTGATGCTGAGGTGAGCACGGGCAATAATCTGCCCGACTTGGACTATGGCAATGCGACACCATTTCTGGATTTGAAGCGTAATGAGCCGCTGCAGTGTTTTGTGCGCTGCCTATACGAAAGCCTGGGCCTGGTGCACTATGACATGATGCTAGAGGAGGCATTCCGAATGCAATTGCAGGGCCTCATGCAACGCCTGAAGCCAGAGCTGAAGGAGTGCAAGGACATGAGCAACAAGAATCGCTGTGAGGCCGCCTACAAGCTGCATGTGTGCTACAATCATCTCAAGAATCTGGAGACGGAGCAGCGACTGCGCGAGGTACTCGAGCGCAGTGAAACTGGCGGCGATCTGGCAGCCATGGACAATGAGGAGAATGAGAATGAGAATGTTGTGAGTGAAGCGGATAAGGCCAACGAGATTAGTCAGCGCTTCAGCGAAACAACGGCACAAGCAGCATAGATTCAACAATAATATATATTTAATTTACATATATATACAAGTGTGTGTGTCGCAAAAGTAAGGTAAAAGTTTAACTGCTGCAATAAAAAATGTGTGGCACGCTTTACGGCTGTGCTTGCTCTAATAAATCAAAACAAAAGTATAATTTTGGGCTACAATTGAGCTGCTCAATTGTATAAAAAAAAATAAAATAAAACAATTATCTAGGCATAAACATTTTAGAACAAATATTAACCGGCGTCCAAAGGTTAACAAACAACACATAAAACGAGAAAGTAAGAATATCTTCGGCACGTCGAAGATTTAATATCCTTATAAACTGATTCATACTACAGATGTGTAAGAATAGTGAAGCTCTTAAATGCTGATTTTAATTGAAATATCTTATAAACACACAACTTTTTGCCATATAAGAATAAGATGTCGGACCACTAGATCCGGCTGGTTCCGACAAGTTTTATGGCGATATTAGTACCCATATAGATGATGAGTGTTACATAACATACTACTGTTACTAACAGAGTGTCATAGAATAACATAATCATAGCATAATCTCTTTATGTTTCAATAGCATGTTAACATAGCTGCTATTGTTACACATCTCTAGGTATAGAATTATATCACATAGTCTGTAACATCATCCCAAAATACGTAATTCCAGCTATTTTCAGTGTGAATTTCGGCATATAGTCATGCCAAATAAATAACTAGTTTATACATCAAATTCACAATTATTAAGTGAAATGAATGCAGGAAATAAAAATTTGACGCTAGGTTTGAAATTTTAACAAGCAAAATTGTAAGCCATTATTGCGAAAATTAAAACAAAATTGAAATTTAATAACTTAATTAAAAGTATTTTTATAATTCGGTGAACTACAAACAGCTAATATTTGCAGCTTCAACTATATAAGCAGCTTGTACTAGTGCAACAAAAATCAGTTCTAAAAATTCGTAACAAGATGAAAATTCAGATATTTGTGGTTGTTTTTGTAGTGTTCTCCCTCTACGAGCTGGTTTTGGTAAGTTTTTAAATGACTTAGAACTATTTTCATAACCAAACATCACCCACAGTCGCAGAGTGCTGCAGACTTGGCTGCCTATAAGGAGAAGCAGCAGGCTTGCATCAAGGAGCTGAAGGTTCCCGACGCGGAGGCCGCACTAATCGCAGCCGAAAATGAGGTGGCCAATGCCTCTGAGGCTTACAAGTGCTATCACAATTGTCTGTACCAGAAAATGGGCCTGGTGACAGCCGACGGTAAGCCCAACAGCGAGAATATACTGAAATTCACCCAGATGCGTTTCAACAAAGCACCGCTGGACAAGATCAAGACCCAGTTGGCCAGCTGTGGCATAAGCGTTGCAAAGTCCGCCAACAACTGCGATTTTGTTTACAACTTTGAGCAGTGCATGGTGAAGGCACTCAAGGCTTGAAGGGGCAAGGCTTCAAGCGGCAAATGCTGCACTTTGCATAAATGATAAGCGAACAACGGCAATCACGCAGTGAAATCCGTTAAATAATAAAGTTATTTTACAATATTAACGCATTTGCCGCATAATCGTGATGGTGGGCACGCGCATTGTGCATTTAATTATGCAAATTGAAAATGGCAAATGAGCCAATACTTATACCCAAACTCACACACACAAATGGAAGAACTTATATAGTATATATATATATATATATGTGTGCACAAATATGTACACATAATCCATTTAAGCTGCTGGCTTATGCCCAGTCCAGAGGCCAGTAAAGCTGCAATTAAGCTGTGACAAACTGTGACGCATCCCAGCGACTGCGTGCAAGCACCCAAATGGACCATGGGTTGCATTTAACTTGCCCCAAAAGCCATGCAGTCTATCTGCACATTTTTAAGGAATAATATTTTAATAAACACATGCCCTTTTCACCACCGTGTAAGGCAAAACAACAGCAGTTGGCGGCTAATGTATAAGACTCGTATAAAACATACAGAAACATTCGCTGCCAAATTCAGTTGTTTCTCATGCTCTATATGTTAGGCAAAATGCATTTCAAAAGAACAGTTCTATGTTGTTTTCATATTTTTGCCACCAGTGAAAAACATGCTCGCCGAGCAGTGCATTTGGAAGGCAGCAAAGTCCGTTTGGTTAACTGATACACGCACACGCACATACACCCACCCTCACACACACATATACCTTTTGTTTTGTGTATTATGATATATAGTTATTATTATTGTTTTTCAATGCACGCATAAATTAATTACAATTTGTCAGCATGTGCTGGTCGCTGCTTTAAGCCTGCACCTCGATGGGCTTGAAGGACTCGAAGCATTCGTGCAATTTGGTTGCCGTATCACAGTTATTCTCGCCCTTAATGCCACCGCATTTGGTCAGCGCCTCGCGTGTCTTTTCCTCGCCAATAAGTGCGCCGAGCTTCTTGAGAACAACCTCCTCCTGGACAACGCCATCCTTGAGTGTGCCGACCTTCTCGAAGAAGCAGTTGGCAAAGCACTTGATATTCTCGCTGGGGCTCTTGAAGTCCTTGGCCTTCACCTTGGAGACCTCCTCTTCGGTCAGGTTGACCTCCTTGGCGCACTGCTCACCATACTGCTTGGTCAGAGCCTTTTGATCCTCGGTCAGCTCAATGGGCTGTGCGTTCGGGTTTGGTAATGGGTGAAATCAGATCGAAATTAGTTTCTGTATCTTGTAGACATACGTATTAAGTAGGAGCTAGCTCTTTTTATTCGAACGCACCTTTTGGATTTGAGTGTACTTTCTTTTTAAATTAACTAGAATCTTATTATATCTATATAGAAGATCCATTTACACTTCTTTTTCTTCTTTTTTTCTTTTTCTTTCTACATTTATATCACATTATAACAGTTCATTAAGTTTCTCTTTTTTCTGTAATACCCATATCTTTTGATTTTTGAGTAACTTATCTCATTTCTTCCCTTTTCTACATTTTTCAAATTTTTTCCTATCATTTTTTTCGTTCTACACCTAATCCTATTATAACAGTTCCAGAATCTTATATTACTCGAAATATTGTTCAACGATTTTCTTTACTTATCTTTTTCTTCTTTACTTCGCTTATTATTTGTTTTTTTTTTTTCATCTAATAGTTCTTAAATTATCTCTTTACTCTTTGCTTATTTTTGCTGTCTTTAAACTTAAGTACTTGTCGTTCCTAACATTTTCCACTGATCTTCTGATCTGTTATTTCTACTTACAGTTCCAGAATCTTATTTCATTTTAAATATAAATATTATTTGTTTGTATATATAATAGTAGATATCATGATATTTTCTATATATATAATTTTCTATAACTTATTTCTTTTTTCTTTAAGGGTGAGTCCCAAGTTTTTTGCTAATATTATTTCTAGCTTCTTTTACATCTCTTCTGATCTTCTATTTCTACTTACCGATGCCACAGCCAGAGCCACAAACACAGCACTCAAAGTGATCACAAAAATGGGATTCATTTTTATATTTTTGATGTACTTATGACTTGTTAGAACGCTAAAGAAGTTCTGATGCTGTGTGGAGCGGTGCGCTCTGCTTTTATAATCGAATTTTGCAGTAATGAAAGCCGGTTTATATTTTAATGGGCCTGCGGCAGTGATCTATTCAAGCTGTCGCTTTTTTGCCAGCTTGTAGTTTTATTTATCTACTTTTGTTTTAGGTCTTTTTTTTTTGCCATAATGGCAAGTACTTTCGTCAACTTCTAGCCTGCGGGCGGGAGCTATGAAAGCAAACCTTTTTTTCTTCTAGTTTTGCTTTGGCACATTTAAGACGAACGATCGAATCAATTATGCATGCAGACAGGCATTGTGCAGACGTCTGAAGTGTGGTCTCAAGATCATAAGTCTGCTTTTACCGAATTATGTTTATTTTGTCGAAGTATGTTTTGATTTTATTTCTTTTTGGGTACAGCTTTGGCGGTCGTTACTTGGCAGCTGCTTAATCATTATCGCACTACTCAATCAGCGCGACCAAATGAAAACTTTGCACTTTGCCAAGAATCTCACCCACATTTTGGACTGGGGACTTTTGAGATATATATCTGAGTGCGAGGTGTAAGTCGCATTGAAAGTTGAAATGCGCGAGGAAAAGTCAAAGGAGCACAAGAAGAAGAGGCAGTGGATGAGGAAGCTGAAGCACAAGTAAAAGACAGACGACGGCAAAGTTTTTTCATTTGAATCCTATTATTTCAACGTAGTTGTAATCTTATTATCCACGAGATGACAGCAAAATGACATTTAGAAAATTTCACGCTGTGTGAAATGTACAAAAACAACAAAAAAATACACACGCACACACACACAAAGGAAAACCAAAGCAAATACGGGAATGCAAGAAAGTCAGCAGAGCAATGCGCGTGGGTGTAGGGAAAGAGAGAGAGAGGGTGAGAGAGAGAGAGAGAGAGACAGAGAGAGAGAGAGAGAGAGAGAGAGAGAGAGAGAGAGAGAAAGAGAGAGTTGGCAATAGCTGTCGCTGATGCGTAATGCGGCTGCCACTTCTTGCTGCTGCTGCCGCTTCTTCTTCATGCGTTTCACCAAGTTTTTCCCGCTCTTGTCTGCCTGTCGCTGCTTCCCTTTTAATTTCAATTCTGACATTTGTTTGTCTGCTGTCAAAATAAAGTAGCTTTTGCTCTAAAGAAATAAACCAAAAACAAGAAAAAAAATACAGATTGCGATTGAAAATTGCCAACACTTTGCGCCCAACAAACCAACCGCCCACCCATCCACAACCACAGCCACATCCACACTCAAATAATAATAATAATAAACTAAAGCTTGTTTGACTTTGTGTAAATTCTTTGAAATCCTCACGTGGTAATCTTAATTCAATTTGTTTGCGGTTCGCTGAACAAACTTCAAAATTGAAATCTTGAAAGTAGAATGTCGAAAATTTATACATATATATATGGGACATATGCTTACCGCGATTTGACAATGTGTCCACTTCGCATGCATATGGAAAGAAAGCTAAAACTAACCTAAGCTATATTTATTCCAAATTTTTAACTGAAAATTAAATTTAAGATCGGCTTGCAAACAAATTCGACCTTTATTCTAAATGAACATTTTGTATATATTAAGAAATGTAGCATCGTAATTTTTTGAAATTTATACTTGTTTAAATTCTTTTATGATTTCATGATTCATGTCATTTTATTTTTAATAAAATAGATATTCATAAAAAAATGCAGTTTGTTCTTTTCCATATTTATTATAAACTGAAACAAATTATTAATAAAACATTGTTTTAAAATAAATTAAAGTTATCAAAAATATTATTATTATTATTATTATTATTAATATTATTATTATTATTATTATTATTATTATTATTATTATTATTATTATTATTATTATTATATTATTATTATTATTATTATTATTATTATTATTATTATTATTATTATTATTATTATTATTATTATTATTATTATTATTTTTATTTTTATTATTATTATTATTATTATTATTATTATTCTTTTATTCGGTTTTATTATTATTTGTGTTGCCATTTTATTTATTTTTTTATATATTATTCTATCATCTGCTGAAATCTTCAAAAATTCTATTATGATTATATTAAGCGTATAATATCGCATAAAATATAATATTAGACTTTAAATATTTGTTGTTAAAATAAATGTAGTCTGTTGTTTTTCGATTTTTTTTTAATCCTAATAAAAAAGTTTTCTTTTATATCAACGAGCCCAACTTTTAGCAAAAGTGTTGAATATTTAATAAATTGTTTCGGGAGAAATGATAAATTTTTTTGCCTAACTCCAAAAGTAGCCCAACTTATGGGCTAACCTTATAAAACTCATCTTGCCCATTTATGACAAATTTAAGTGTGAAGCCTGGCATTAAATGATGTACATTGCTTAGTACTTGAATTATGTGTAAAGCCTTATAAATAGAGTCATAGATTCCAAAACCTGGCCAGACATTGAGCTGTGCTTGATAGTGGGGCGAGTTGCCGAATGGCTTTTCTATAAGCTGTGTCTTGCTCTCACTTTTTCTCTCCCTCTCTCTTTCTTTCTCCCTCTCTCTATCTCTCTCTTTCTCTCTGTCTTAATCTATAAGCAACAGCAGCTGTCTTTTCTTCGCCTCTGCCCGCCCAGCCAGCTAGAGACCCAAGTCGCCTGCTAAGCTACGCTAGAAATTAAGTACAATTTTCATTTTAAATTAAGCTGCCAAGGCTGGCGGCCACCCGCACGTTGCCCCCGCTGTCTGCATTTACAGCATTCGACGTCATTAATCACCACAGGAGCAGCAACAACAACAACAACAACAACATTATCAACAACAAGTCTGGGCATTTGTCAGAGCCTTTTGGTTTTACTTTGCTCTGAAGCATTTTCTAATCGTCCAAAAACCCAGCCGAAAAACTTGTGCAGCACATGTCAGAGGGCGCCCCATGCCGCTCTGCCCCCTTCTGCTATTGCCCCCCGTCCACATAACTATGTAAACTCCAATTTGGTAGCCACCTGTCTAAAAGGGGGACTTCCCCTCTTCCTATTTATTTTTTTGTTTGTGCTTTGGAGAAAAATGGTCGCTAAATTTGCGTGAAAAGGCAAATAATTTGAAATTCCCGCGGGGTTCTAAATAAGTAAATTTAAATTGCATTTGTATGCGTTAAAAATTTGTTGCCTTTTATTTATACCTATATTTCCACTTTTATTTTACGGTTTGTTATTGTTGTTTTTTTTTTTTTTTTTTTGTATTTTTGTATTTTTTGTTGGCTGAGTGGGGATTTTGGTGGGCACCACAACAAGTTTCTGTTGCTGCTGTTATAAATTTGCGTGTCAAAAGCGACGCGGAAAAGCTGATTTTTTGTTGATGTTTTCGCATACGAATGCAAAGTTCCGACCGAGTACCATTTACTACGTATTCCCCATTAGTTGCTCCTCAACTACGCTTGTGTGTGTGTGTGTGTGTGTGTGTGTGTGTGTGTTTGTGCAAATGTTAATGTCCTTATCAGCGCTTCAGCATTTTTACATGTGTCCCGTTTGAAATATGCGGCACTGTTTTTCTGGCGCTTTGCATGCGGTCGAGTTGAGTTCGGTGGTTTTATACCCTGTAGCAGAGCTGTTGAGCGGTATATTCCATGTGCAGGTGATGTCCAGTTGAGGCAGTCAAGGGTTTGAATGAAAACACATTAACTTATACATAAATTATAGTGGTTTGGCATTCAGAAACAAACAAGTTATTTCGATTTTTCTATTACCTTAGGTTTCAGGTTTCTATTTCTATGAAATACCTATTTACCAGGCACATAAAACTAGTTTTTATATTATAACAATATTTTCTTTTTAGAATTTTTATCTTTAGCATTTCTTCAGTTGTAATATATTTTCCTGTTTAACAGATACTGCTTTCTACAAAAATACATATTTTTTTTAATTTGCATTTGTTCTTGTATAAATAAGATGTTAAATAAGTATTTCCGTAATCTTTGTAATGAGTTTCATTATAACCATTTAAATCAAGTAGAGCTCCACGCTCAAAGTTATATTTATCACAAGCAAGTTTCATTCAAACGTTTTTCGCGGTTTTTCCGCACTTGTGGGTGCGGGTTTTCCGAAAACTCCGGCTTAGCGTGCATCTTCATAACATAAAGTAACTACAGTGAACATTTAGGCTTCCTAGCTCTTGGGTTTTGAGCTGTGTATTGTTCAACAATCAGTCAGTCAGTCAGTCAAGCATAGTTTTTAGCACATTTTCAGCTTTATATGCAAGCTTATATCTTAATCAGGCATTACAGGGCATATTGAAAAGGAGTTTACGAATTTAAATCGTCCGGACTCGTACTTTTTTGTGTGCTGCTTCCGTTGCAGTTGATGTCAAGTGTCAAGTGCTGGACAGTTGAAGTTATTTATTATAACGACAATTACATAGAAACCGATGTTGGTGGTGCTGCTGGTGGTTGTGGTGGTGCTGGTTGTGGTTCCTGTTGCTGTTGCTGTTGCCTGGCGGTTCACATGTTGTCAGAGCGTTTTGCCCTTTGTCAATAATTACATTTGTGTTAAATGCAAATTAGAAAATGCCACGAAAAGTCCGCTGAAAAAGAAGTGGCCATAATGTGTTTTGTCGTACGTTTGTTATGGCTGCTGCTGCTGCTGCTGGCCACGCCCACCAAAAACGCACACACTCACACACGCATCATTTGCGAATGTAATAAAATTGCAAGGCAGCAGCATGAGTTACGCCCACATTTTGCACAGAAAAATCTCTTACGCCAACATTTCGCTTTTGTGTGCATGTGTGTTATGCTGTCACTGCCCCCTTTTCTGCAGCCATTCCCCCGCTGCCACCCGTGCCTGTTTCAGTGCCCTTTCTGCATAGCAAAGAGAAAAATTTGCTAATGTAATGATGCTTAAAAGTGTTTCAAAGTATTTCTAACCATTTGCCATGTTTATTTTTATTTAAATGCCAACATGTGCGTGTGGGTTTGTCTGTGTGTG